TTTCGCAAAAATCCAAAAATCCAAATGGGCGCGTGTGCTGTTGCCAACCTGGCATGCCGCAATGGCATCTTGACCTACTGTCTTGGGCCTGAAGCCCCAGTTGACGACTCTGTTCGCCTGTTTGATGCTCTCACGGCTGTGGTGAAGGTGGAGCTTTTCAGCATCAATCAGGTGCACATGGAAGAGTTCCTTGAGAAGAAGCAGGCAGCAGAGGCGCCTGACAAGTCTGCAGCGGCGAAGCCCAAGAAGGACCCTGAGGAGGGTGTGGACTTGGGCCCAGTGGAACGTGCCGTCAAGCGTCTCATGGACACCTTGCAGTCCTATAACTACAAGGACGACCTGAATGCCGGCGATCAACATCGGCATCCCTATGCAGGTCTCCGCGAAAACTTTGTGGTTCAACTACAGACAACTGTACTTGGACCGCACCAAAAAGAGATCTTCAGACCTGCTCCCGTATGGAGGCGCGGAGGTCATTAACAAGTTTGGTGAGGCCAAACACTGGAAGGAAATGCTCCAGTGGCTTCTAGATCACGACGTGGCCACCGTGGATACCATCGGCAAGTGCAAGGTCGCCATACTTCGCTACACCGCTGACGGGGCCAGCAACCTCGAGCAGCTGGGCGTGAGCCCAGACATTCGCCGCGTTTATGCTGAGCTGCTGGCCAAGCATTAGTGAGCGCAGACGCCCATCTCCTCCATCATCGTTGTATTGACAGCGATCTTGCACGTTTCTGCGTAGCGCAGTCGCGAATGAGCTGTGCGTAATTAGGGGAATCAGGCGAAGTCATGTACTTGCCCAGACACTTGCTGCGTTTATGCTGAGCTGCCGGCCAAGCATGAGTAAGCGCAGACGCCCATCTCCTTCATCATCGTTGTATTGACAGCGATCTTGCGCGTTTCTGAGTAGGGCAGTCGCGAATGAGCTGTGTGTAATTAAGGGACTCAGGCGAAGTGATGTACCTACTTTACGCCTGAAAGAGGTCTTGCGTGCCTGAAGATTGCACAGGTAGCGCTGCAGTACGCGGGTCAGGCTATGGGCTTCCTGCAGTCTTGTGCCCTGCAGGTCTCAATTCTCCAGCCGTGGGCCGGAGACTCAGGTCATCTTCATCCGGGGATCCAAGGAACTTCCATGAAAACTTTGGAAACCCCGGACTGGTTGCGCTCCACATGGGCTTCCTGCTGTGCGTCTAATAGTGGTCGGGGTTGACCTGGCTGTCTGCTTCTCTATTTTTGCTCTCGTGTACCCATCCGGGGATGCATGTAATCCCCCAAACTTCTGACATCACCGGATGGGTTTCGCTTTACAAGCATCTCCTACTATGCCTTTAGCAGGTCGCAAATTCTCTAGCAACGTGCTCAAGCCGTGGACAAGCTGCGCAGGAGGAAGCGCTTGTGAAGGGATACCCTCCGGGGATTTCAGACTTCTCGCAGCATATCTGCTGGAACTGGACCAGGCGGATGATCTAAGTCCCTGGAGGTGAACCCACAAAACTCACCAGTGACCACCGGCGTTTTTGCTGAGACATGGCGCAAATGCCATGTTTCAGCAGTTGCGCAGAGCTAATCAAGAAACCCCGCGTGTCCTGATTATGAGAAGGGGCGCGCTAGACATCTGACACGGCTTCAAGTCCCTGGACGGCCGCAGGGGATTCTGAAGCTAACCTTGGCCTGCGTGTCATGTCGTCCAGGATGCTTCGTATTTTGGTTCCATGGCGTAGCCATGGCAAGCAGAAGCAGCACCGTTGCGCACACTCATGTCCCTTTTGGCTAGGAGCATACTCCGAGCGTTGGGGGCGCGGGTGCATGAGAAGGGCAACAGCTCCAACAAGAAGCAGCAAGCGGGCCCAAATTTCGTCCTGGCAAAACGGATGCTAGCATCTTGCTCATCCGGATGCAAAGAGACGGATGCAGCGGCAACATGGGTTTTAGCATCTTCGTTATCCGAATGCAAAAAAGGGCTGCAGCAGTAACATGGGTGTTAGCATTCTGGCTATCCGGGTGCAAACAACTGGATGCAACTGCAACATGGATGTAAGCAACTTGGCAAGCCGGGTGCACGGGAATGCACGTAAGGATAAAATGGATGCCCACATCTTGGTTTTGCGCGTGCAAAGACGTGGATGCAGTGGCGACATGGATATCAAGATGCCAAGAAACGGCTGCAGCGGAAGCATGGATGTCAGCGTCTTGGTTCTCCGGATGCAATGGTCTGGATGCAGCGGTAACACGTTGTTAGCACCTTGGCTATCCGGATGCAAAGAGATGCACGCAGTGGAGCATGACTGGCAGCCGGGTATGCGCGCATCCCTCGCGCACGCCGTCTGAATGTAAACAGTCTGGCAACAAGTCATAAGCAAAACGTCCGGAAACGCAGGGTTTATGGTCGAGGGTTCAGGGTTTTGTTTACGCACGTCGCCTGACCCGCCCCCGAGGGGGAAGATTCTCAGAGCATCGGAGGGCATGCTGGGCATGGGATTCCGGCTTCACTTACTTAGAGCGTTCTCAGGAACATAGTCCCGTAAAAATTTACACACCCCCAAAAGTTGTCGGACATTCCGTTATTCCGGAACGACCAGTCTCTGACTAGACCCTACTGCCCAACAAAATTGCAAATTTTCGCAAAAAAGAAGAAGTAAATTTTCTCAAAAAATCGGCAAATTTTCGCAAAAATCGCTAAATTTTCACAAAAATCGGTAAATTTTCGCAAAGATCGGCATATTTCGGCAAAAATCTGCAAATTTTCGCAAAAACCTGTAAATTCTCGCCAAAAAATTCTAATCGCTTCCCCTAATAATAAACGACGTCTCCCCCCCTAATAATAAAAAAAATCCGGGGTGCCAGAAATTATGTATTATTAGGGGGGCATATTTACTGAAAGGATGTGGTAGGGCCGCCTTCAAATTCCTTTTGAAATGAATTAAAATCGAAGTAAAATCCAGTTAGAACCATTTGAAATTTAATTTACATTCCTTTTAAATCCTTTAAAATCAATTAAAATCAAGTACAATCGAATTAAAATCCCGTTAGAATCAATTGCAATTTAATTAACATTCCTGTTAAAATCAATTAGAATCGAATTAAAATCCCGTTAGAATCAGTTGCAATTTCATTAAAATTCCTTTTAAAATCA